CCACGCGTAGCTCGCCAGGCTCTGACGTGGCACCCTCCGCATTGGTACGTTTTTGGAACAGTCCAAAACCGTTCACCCCCACGCCACGATGAGGCTGCGGGGGTGAACGGTTTTGGACCTGTTCCAAAAACCTACCAATGAATACTACTTCGTAATGTCTCGAAAGGACTTTTGGGGTCGACATCACTGCCCCGCTCAAACCTCAATGTACAACAACTATGAAATTAGGTCATTGATAAGAATTTGAGAAAAAAAAAATACGAGAATTGGTAACTCTATCTAAATTGGTACGCACGGTGCCAATATAATTGGGAGAATTAGCGAAAAACGTGAAAGGTTGAAACTGGTAGCAACTTGCGGGAATCCCTTTTTCCACACAACAAGAGAGCGATTTTGGGGCGCGTTGCTCGTGGCACCGTTGCCATGTAAAGGTTACAATAAGATACGGAGCTGCATTTATTTATTACTCTGAAATCTTCTGAGATCGGCTAGGCGTGGCCGGCATGGTTTCACTTACCTGAAGGTGTCGGTGCTCTAATGAAGATATTTGATCATTGGACACATTTGTTATCGTTGTCTCTGTCCAACACAACAGGATGGCTGTTTCCCAGGCGGAAAATTCACGAGTAACAGTTCCTTGCATGTTCGAATGCCGCCTCTCCTGGCTCGAGGGGATAAGGGAGTGTACTTCTTAAGATCTATGGGAGCACGCAGCCCCTTTTTATATTCAATCCCTTTCGTATCCCCCCCCCCCCCATTTCCAAGTTGTACTTTCGGAAATGAAAGGCGGATAGGGCAATTCAGCATCGGCTGGGAATTTCGTCGGACGAGCCGGGCACGCGTTTGGGCGTCAGGGTCAGTAGGTTGCAGCTTGATAGTCTCACAACGGCACCTTCCCAAAAAAAGGCGTCCAACTTCCATTCCGTCTTGTACTGAGTAAAGAGATGACTACAGATATCTCTATAATTGTCTCGAAACAGCAGTAACCCACAAGAAGCGCAGCCGCTGCCACGTTCAAGTTACGCCCCCCCCCCGCCACTTGGATTTTCCAAGACATGGGTATCGCGTGTAGTACAACTAAAGCCCATTATCCATACGTTTTGAATGAATCACCCCGACGCCGGCCAGAGCCGAACTAATCAATATCACTTTTCCATTTTACAGAGTAAGTAAATTGTCCCCACATTTGGGCATAAAACTGTCCGCCAACATAAAAAAAAGATGTCAAGAAATCCAAAATGATTTTACACTTGACATGCCACCAGCCAATTTTGTTCAGCGGCTGGACCCTGGCCGCATTTCCCATCATTGGTTGCTCCATTCCCTTGAAATCGATCTTTACCCGTTCGACCATCTTGCGTAGAGCAACGGGGCCGAACGACCATTTGTCGCGTTGCACAACCGCCCTCCGACAGTCCGCAATGATGAGGACTGTACTTTCTGCAGTCTTGATCTTCATGCAAGACATTTCATGAATAAATCAAAGCGACAAGGGATGGAGTCCTCGCAACAAGTTCATAAGCTCTAGCACAGCGTTTTACGGGCTTTTGACTGAGCGTATTGAAATTCTATTAATGGTTTGTCGGGAAGTCTCAGAACAAAAAGAAGGTGACGTTTCGGAAAGTTTTTCACTTCAAACGAATTATTAACCTTTCCCCCTTAATTACTGCATGGATTACAAATCCAAAATAAGAGGCATAATTCGAATCAGCACACTTTGTAATGTTTCGCGGAACGGTCCAATAATCCCATCAAAAAAAAAAACTGGTGGTCGTGAGATCCACGGGAACCCCCGAAGGGGCTTTTTTTGCCTGGTCCTGATTGATGAAGTATTTTACCAAGCAAGAAAGTTCCAATGTTTTTGAATGGTGATTAGTCGTTGGTGGGAAATCTGAGAATATGCAGGTGAGGTAGAACAACTTGAAAACCCCCAATTCGTACATATTTATGGATAGCGATTTTGTAGAATGTGTGGGCGGGGCGTTGTCATGCAAAGGAATCGGACTCTTTCTGTTGACAAGTGCTAGGCTGCAGCTGACGCGATTTTCGGTTACATCTTGTCGATTTCTTCACAGTAGGACTCTGCTGCGATGGTTTGTTTGGCCTGTGGCAAAAGTTATAGTGGATCACACCAGCCGATGACCACCGCAATGTGACCATAATCTTTTTTTTCGTGAGGATTCGGCTTTGGAAATTGCCTCGGTGGTTCGTCGGCATCCAACCACTGTCCGGAACGTCTCCTGTTATCATACATGATCCATTTTTCATCACAGGTGACAATTTCGTTCAACAAAAACGAGTCGTTTCTGTTACGCAAAAGCATGAAGTAGGAACCTCGAGACATGTCAATTTCTGCCGCTCACTGAAATTGTGGGGTGCCCGCTTGTCGATTTTCACCTTCCCAATCCGTCTCACTAGGGAAGGTCGTCAGGTCGAAGTGGCCATTTGTGATGAGATGTAGATCACTAGACGTGGTTTTGGACGCTGATCTTGAATCTGCCTTCAATGCAACAGAGATTCTCTTGAACCGATATATGCGAGGCCGCGTTTTTCCACAGAACGACCATGGGGGATCCATGCTGAGCTTACACTTTTTTGCTTGGTTGACGCAGCGTGGCAAACAAGTGATTTTCGCCCGTCATATACTTACTTCATTTTCATCACCTGATCTTGTCTGAAGAAAAAGTCGGACCTCCGCTTTATTAGTGGCGCTTGGACTCCTTGTAGAAGCACAGTAGTGCACTGTAGTCTACAAGGAGTCCAAGCGCAGTAATAAATGGAGGCAAACTTTTCTTCAGACAAGCTCAGGTGAGAACTGAAGTAGTAGTGACGGCCAAAACCACTTTTTGCCACGTTTGCGCAACAAGCAAAAAAGTTAAGCTCAGCAGGGATCCGATCCCATGACCTGTTGCGTGGTAAACGCGGCTCCATAACTCCGTTCAGAGAGAATCGCTTTGCAAATTTGAAGGCAGATTCAAGATCAGCGTCAAACCACAATGTAGTGATCTACATTCATCCAACACACGGCCACTTCGACCTGGGACGGACCTTCCACTAGTCAGACCCACCCGCGCACAAGTGGATTTACCAAACGCCTAGCTTTGTTGCAAATCTCTCGAACTGTTTTGGATGGGTCACCCTCTACAAATGCCTTCAAATCTTCGTCAGGTATTGCTTTAGGTCGACCGCTACGAGGTTCATCTTCAAGGCTGAAATCTCCAGAACGAAATTTGTCGAACCATTGTCGCACGGTGCTTTCTCCAACACTATTGGGCCCCCACACCTGGTTAATTTCTTTCGAAAGCTGTTGCATCAACTGTACGGATTGACCCACTTTGTAGCTGAAACAATATCGTCCGAAGTTGCTCTTTTGGCATGATTCAAAAAGCCTTGGGAAGAGGGGGTTTATCAAGCAATGGTGAAACGGCAATTATACCATCAGATAGCGCAAAAATTCTCTTCAGGATGTACTTCTGAGACGCAAGGGAGGATGAGCTTTTAACTAGAAATGAATGTACAAAAAATAGTGATACAAAACGTTGAGAACTTTCCGGAACCAGTCATACCTGCGGCCGCGTCCACCAGCGACCACTAGCGCTCCGCGTCCGGCAGCGTTAGCGACTAGGAAAGCGTAGATATCGATCTAGCGACCAGCAAAGTCAAGGGCCGTGGAACTACAGGTATCGAATCTAGCGACCAGACAAGCGTTAACACAGGGCACAGCATTGGTTGGGGGATTCCTATTGGGGGGGGGATCGTATATTGGCCGTCAACAAAGGGGGGGAATGGGGGGGGGGGGTCGTACCAGCCCCTGAAAAAAGGGGGGGGGTCGTAAAAGCTCGACCAAAATCCCCATCGAATGCTGTGCCCTGGCTTACAGCCACTAGTGACCCACAGCGTCCAGAAGTGGAGAACACGGGGCGATAGGAGGGTAGCAGACTGCTGGTAGAGAATGTGGCGAGAGCAGGCAGCAGACTACCGGTAGAGAGCAGGAGGCGAGAGGCGGGTACCAGCTGTCTGCTACTCCCCTACTGCCTCATACTCTCCACTTACCTGACACACTTGCTGGTTTACTGGGACGCTGGTTACACGATGACTGTTCCCGCTGGGATCAGATTACTTGACTTCCCTAGCTCTCGAGATGAGCTGCTGAGTCACTGGTGGGACGCTTGGTAGGGACGCTTGCTGTCACTAGATCGACACCTATACTTCCCTGGCCCTTGAGGCGTTGCTGGTCGCTAGATCGATATCTATACTTTCCTAGTAGCTGACGCTGCTGGACGTCGAACGGTAGTGGTAGCTGGTGGACGCTGCTGCAAAGCATGAACCAGCCTTAAAGCACCTACACGAAGGCTAAATTCATGTGCAGCACACTAATTTTTAGCGATGCTGGCCACTAGATCGACAAAGATAATTTCGAAGAATCTCTTATTTAATTAGCGTGCTGTCAGACCTGTTCTGACCCACAGAATTTTAATATCTTACGACATCAATAAATTAAAAATTAACTTTTATTGTGACACTCATTAATAACATTCAGAGGGAAATCCTTGGGAAACAAAAGGGAAAATATTCAAAATCTTATCCAAAACTGCAGTCTAACATAGCGTGAGCCTCTTTATTGAGTGAAAGCCCACGAGCGACCGACAGTGCTTACTTGATGTCTTCAAAACTTTCTGAACTCAAGTTTATGTCGAGATCCGGGTCACTCTTGATGGTCACTTCTGCTCAATTTCAAAAACCAGAAATCAGGGATTGCACAGGTGCTTGGGATACCAGAACAGGCTTCTCATGCATATTCATAACTCTGATGATTAAACCGTAAACAAAACAACAATGATAAAATTAAGCACCACTTGGTTATAATATATGCCAAAACGGATGAACAAAGTTACAAAGTAAGAACTTGTTAAATTCTAGTAAAGTCTTGACTCAAAGGAAGTAAACTATAAAATAAAGCTAGCTAGTCTCACTAGAGCATTCACCGAATATTCAAAAGCCTAAGTAACTGATCTCGCATCTCTTCGGCACGTTCTCGCTGTAAATCTTGATAATCCTCCGAAAGTATCTCTTTCTGTCGTAAAAGGCGAAAGAGAATTCCGAAACGAGTCCGAATTTACTGCTTCCACTGAAAGACTTCTTCATGTGAACTTGAACCTTTTCTAACCAGGGAAGGTCGATCAGGGTCGAATGGCTAATTTTCAATGAGATGTAGCTCACTAGACGTGGTTTTGGACGCTGATCTCGAATCTGCCTCCGAAATTTGCAGAACGATTCTATGGACGGAATTATGAAGGTGTGTCTTAGAATTTTAAGTGCTAGGACAGAGTCTGGAGCGCAGGGTGGGCTAAGCCATTGGCATAAATAGCCGGGGAGCAACGGGTTCCCGTTGCCAACGTGGCTTGGTGTAGAGGTAAATGGTCTTGCTTCGCGGGCATGCTATTCGGATTTCTGGGAAGGGAACTTGTTTTGCATTTTGTGGGGAATGTCTCTTTTGAGTCTAGAAAACACTCAAACGCCAAATGGGTGCCATATTCGTGTTCAGGGAGCAAAACTACGCTTGTGGATAGGTTTCTAGCCAGATGTGAGGTTTTGACCCAACTATGAAAAGTGCGATAGCAATTGATCAAAGGGTTGTCAACCAATAGTTCCAGGGCAGTCTTCTTGTCGATTGTTTTGTCTATGGACGGGGAACTTCTTTTTAGAATACCACGGAAAAACTGGAGCGGTAACAACATGAATGCGTAAGAAATGGCAAGACGAGACTTTGCGCCGGAGAATGTATCTGCGTCTGAATGCAGCGGAATAGGTGTGAACATAGAATGAACTAACCCAATTGACGCTTCACTTGTCGAACGTGAGGGTTACAAATAACGCCAGATCTGGCTAGAAAAAAAACCCCCATCTAAGGCGTAGTTCGGCTCAGATACAAACAAAGAACATATGGCAACTCGCTCAGCGCGAAAACGCCTTATGCCACTTCCGCGCCAAGGGCACTTAAAATCCAAAATTCTTTCCTTAGAGGCACTAGGGCACATTAAAGGCCAAGGCGACGCCAGGTAAGCAAACACAACACTTGCTTTTTTCAGGCAAGTCAAGGAGAGCGCTAATGTAGCAGTGACGCCACAACCACTTTTTGCCACGTTTGCACAAGAAGCAAAAAAGTTAAGCTCAGCAGGGATCCGATCCCACGACCTGTTGCGTGGTAAACGCGGTGGAAAAAGCTCCATAACTCCGTTCAGAGAATCGTTCTGCAAATTTCGAAGGCAGATTCGAGATCAGCGTCCAAAACCACGTCTAGTGAGCTACATCTCATTACAAATGGCCACTTCGACCTGACGACCTTCCCTAGTAAGTAATTTCTAGTGGACACTTGTTCAAAAGTATGGTATTGCATACAAGTGCACCTTTTAAAATATGAACACCTATAATTATTGAAACTTACACAGAAGGGTGAACGGCAGTTGTTGGCAGTCTCTGAGACAATCTCTGCACCACTCACGGATTATATCCGATTCTGAAGATATCTTTCTCAAATTTTCCTCTTATGCAATTATTAATTCATGAAACTGCTCACGTTTCCCAGTAACTGTTCCCGAAAGAAGACGATCTACAACAATATAGAGAGATTGCATGAAAGGACGCAAGAAGTTCGAATAAAACAGCAAAATATTGCGAGCATCCGAATCTCGAACCTAAATTGTCGGCCATTGCTGTGTGCCATAGCCTTACAGCGCGTTTGACGTGATCACCACTTAGGCTATTTCAGTGGTGAACCGATAGGGCTGAAAGCCATTATGGGATGTCAAGTCAATCGTAATACGTCGCGCCGGTGGGCGTGGCGAGCGGCGCCGCGGCTGCGAGACGAGTTGCCCTGCCTTGTTGTTTGAATATGCGTATTAAAGGGGAGGATCGATATTATTCGGTAGGGAATCTTAGGTACCTTGTTTTCTGTTTCAATCAACAAAATGATACACACATTGAGAATCCATCGCGCAACGCCACACGATGTAACGCGTGCGAAGGCGCAATAGGTTACGATTGTCTTGTCCGTCTTCCCTGCGAGGGTGAGGGGCGGCTTCTTTGTAGTGAAAAAACAGAGCACTTTCTCGGCAGTTAGCCCAATAGGATAAGTCTAAATTGTATCACTCCAGTCCGTTTGTTAGCGAATCATCATGCTGAGAAACAAGAAACTAGCACGCATTTGCGAAGTACCTCCCCAATTTTATTAACAGGAATAAAGTATAAAATTTCGTTTGAAATATTGCGGAATTTTTCTTCATACAACGAGCTCGCACTAATGCGCAAGCCAGATTGTTCGAAAAGGGCTTTCATAAGATGAGCTGAATCATCGGGTTGACCAATGGGACTGAGGAACCAGTTTTATTTAATACCTTTACAACAAGTGGAAATGATTTGAGACGAACGCTGCTTAGGCACTTTAGAATTAGACATTTGGTCCCTGACGGTCCAACCGTCATGGGCCACGTATAGTATCGTTGGACCAAGATCATTCGTTAAAATACGGAAAATAGTGGTCTCCTGGGATAACAATCACCAAATTTGCTCTTTGCTTATAAAGGAACATAGCGAGAATATTTTATCTTTAGTCTTCTCCCGCACCCTTCCCTCTATATAGCAAGAGCCCGTGACACTTCGATCACCTTTAACCCAATATGGTCGAAATGCTTTGACCGACCTAGAAAGTTCCCTACCCCGCAACTGCACACTAACAGTGAAATATTGCATCTGTATCGTAACTCATGACGGAAGACAGGCAAGAGAATCATATCTATCACGCTGTCGCGTGCAGCGCATCGCGGCAAGTAATCGATGTGCATTAGTTTGCTACTGAAGCAGCGAGATCGTATGAATTCAAGCGAAGTGTAAACTCCATGCCAAAAAGTATAGATCTTTCCTGTTTCTTTGGTACTCGAATTCGAACGACCGCCTAGGAAGATTCGTCTCTCGCACGTGCAGCGCCGCTTATCACGCCCCAGCGCGGCATTACGATTCTCTTGCCCGATACCTACTCTAAGCACGAGTGAAGAGATGAAGTGTAAATTACGTGTAAGCGGAAATTACGAAAAAGAAAGCAGAACTCATACTACGAACCTGGAGCTGAGGTTCGTCG